TAGGGGTTTAGGGGTTTAGGGGAGCCCAGTGTAGAGTTTTGTTGTCGCAGCAAGAAAGGTAGTCCACAGTATAGGAAAGTGTACTAGAGTATTAGTTTATGATATTGAAGCTACTTTGGTATAAGTATCATAGAGTATTAAGGTATACTATAGTATATCCACAGTTTTTTATGTTGCACTGTAGAATTTATACTGTTCTTCATGGAAAAGAGTGGTATAGTATAGTTGTTCAGAGTTTGGGACTCTTGGAGTAGCAGGGACCTCAGTAAAGCCTAAGCAGTGAAGATCTTTTTTGTAAGGATTCCCAACGAACGAGGTGTAAGGGTTGAGTGTAGCCTTCTGCGGCATTTCGGGTTTAGGGGTTTAGCGATTAGGGATTTCGAGCTTCGGTTTTCATCAGGTTTGGGGTTCCCTGAGTTGGGCGAGGCTTGCGGAGGTTTGCTGAGGGTGTTGCAGGATCTGATAGGGGTGCGGGCAGCTCTTACTAGTGAAAGTGCTTGGTTGTGGTTTTAGGAGCTGCTTGCAAACTAAGCTTGAACTTCGACGGTTCAGGGAGTTATGCCGCGATGATAGTGGGAAGTCATCAGACCCAGATCCTGAACTCATCAGATGATACAAGGCCTGGGGCCCCAGCACTAGAGGCAAGAAACCGATACCTCATTCCGCTTTGCGGCCCACTGTGCCCAGGCGGCGTCGGAAGCAGTCTGAGGCCGACAAGGTGCCTTCAAAGGTTTCAGTTGTCGTTTATTGTTTTCGGGGCCCTTTGGGGTTTGCTAGAAGTTTCAGGTGTCAGCATATCAGATTTCGCACAGGGTTTTGACCTTCCGGCACTTCCGGGAGCGGGGTGTTCAAAGCCAGCTGTTGATTTTTTGCTTCCTCCACAAAGATCTATGCCTTTACGGCTTCCTTCTGGGTCTTCTTATGTCCAACGATTTGAGGTTCCTTGTGCTCATGGGTAATACTCAACAGCAGTATCTTGCTTTGAGATGGGACTGCTCGTGAAAGTAGAGTAGTCTCTTGCTTTGAGGTGGTGCTCTTAACCCTAAGCCCTCAACCCCAACCCGAAACACTAAAAAAACCCTAAACCCTAAACCCTAAACCCAAACCCCTAAACCCTAAAGCCCCACATCAAGGGCCGCTCAAAGCCGGAAGTATGCGTCTCAAAGATTTTTTCTAAACCGGACTACCTGCTGGTTTCGGGCTTAGGGGTTTGGGTTTAGGGTTTAGGGTTGAGGGCTTTGGGTTTAGGGGTTTAGGGGTTAGGGGTTAGGTTTGAGGGTTTAGGGTTTTAGGGTTTAGGGCTGTCGCCAACTGTTGCTACCAGGATTTCTGTTCTGGTCCAAACAACTACTTCCGCATGAAAGACCACCAGACCCGGGTGATGTTTCTTGTATGATCTAAATCCAAAACCGAAGTCACTGAATCCAGCAACAAACACTGCTTGTCAAGCCGCAGACCAGTCCTGACAATCTTGGCCTTTTTTGCTGGATTGTCACATCAACACCAACAGAATCAACAGAAGTCTCCAAAGCACCAGCAATTTCTACCCCAGCAGCCCGTTGTTCACATGACCGGTACGAATCTGAACCATGTTGGCTTTGACAAGCTGCGCAGTCCTTTGCGTAGTCCCTACTTTCATGCATTTTCATACCCACCTCGCCAAAAAACGAAACATATCACATGTCGAGTCCTGGAACCGCGTTGTTCATGACCTGAACGAATCCGAACCATGGTGACCCTGACAGTCTGTGTACTTCTTCGCATCGTCTTTGGGTTAAGCTCCACCAGTGTCCCAATGACAAATTTCATCATTGTACTCCGGTAGTTGCCATAGGAATTTCACGAACATCTTACATCTCAGCCATAAACATTGAGATGCTTGCTTCGAGCTACGTTTAAGGGGCTTGTCATGTCCTGTTACGCACCGAACTGCATTACACAGCAGCGCAACGTTGCCACATTGAAAGATTGAACGGTCTGCATGGCAACCCCGAGATCGACAATTCGCTTGGGCTCTTGGGGAGAATCTTGGAGTGTGGATGTTGGATCCGTTCCGTGTTGAAAATTGTTATTGTGGCGCTGTGTGGAATTTCATCGTGGCGACCTATGCAGAAACTGGATCTTTCGGGGTTGAAAGTTGTGTCGCGGTGGTGGAGGGTATTGCTTTTGTCCTTTTCTTGGGGAGTGGAGGGGGGCTGCTGGCTTCTCGTAATGCCATCTTTCTTGGTTCGTTTTGCGGCCACCATTCATAACCCTAAACCCTAAACCCTAAACCCTAAACCCTAAACCCTAAACCCTAAACCCTAAACCCTAAACCCCACTGGCCCATATCGTTTTGTTGCAAGCCGGCCGTGGAGACGGAGGGTCTTGCCAGAACTATGCACAGCACTTCGTGTACTCCCAAACTCGCCCCACGCTCTGCCTTAACTGCAGGACCCTATAAACCCTAAACCCAAGACGCAAAACCCTAAACCCTAAAGCCCTAAAGCCCTAAAACCCTAAAGCCTTAAAGCCTTAAAGCCCTAAGCCCAAAGCCCTAAACCCCCTGAAGCCCTACCTAAACCCAAACCGAACCCGGAGCACCAGTTGTACTCTTCGAGGCGAAGGCAGCAGAAATGCGAGCTGCTCGCGAGAAGGCCGTTTTCCCATGGGCCTGAGGTAGGGTTTCAGGGTTTAGGGTTTAGGGTTTACGGATTCTGCGGCCTCGACGTCGCGTTATGGAGATCTCTTGCGAAGAGAGATTACACAGGGAGGCAAGCGCTGGATACGAATTTTTGCGCATGCTTTAACAAGGATTCGATGTTTTTTGAAGATAGCTTCATGCGTCGTCATATACTTTTAAAGACAATATTGCGACAATGCAGTCCTTTCCAGTCGGCATCTTTGTCTGTGGCCATTAATATCGGGTTTGGGAAGCGCCGCATGGCGAGCGATAGTTTCACATCGCAGACGATCCAGCGTAGACGGCCATCCGAGCACAGAAACCTCAATGCTACTTTAGCAGCGCTGCACAAGAGAGTTTCTGCAGACATCTATATATATATATATATATTTAAAGATGTGTCAAAAAATCCGTGTCGAACCATTGCCTGAACCACCAGAACTCGAATAGAGAAGGCACCGTTTGCAATCTATTTCCACTTGCAAGGAATTGACGGAGGGGATTTCCGCATTGGTCCAGGCTTTGACAAGGCCTTGAAAATTAGCATAGGCCTGAATATAAGCAGCTTTTAAGGTTTCAGATGGGTCTGTATACGATAACCAAGACACATCAGCGCCAAACTCTCAACTTTACACTTTACACCTCAAATCCGACTCGGTACCGGGAAAAAAGGGCACATGTCTCTGTTTGAGGCCCCAGCGGCGGCCGCTCCGAACGGAGTGTCGAACCGCCGCGAGTTGGTTCGGGCATCCGTCGGGTGTACGTGGAGGGGTAGCATAGAAATAGGGGCTCAGGGTCATGTAGGGAGCCTTGGTCTGGAGTTATCCCTTCACCCCCATCCTGCTGGCGACCCCTGACAGGGGCCTGGATTGATTCCTCTTTCATTCACGTGGGTTTAGACCGTCGTGAGACAGGT